AAATATAGCCTATGTCACTCGGACAAAATGTATTTAAATAAAGAAAAATGTAATAATAAATAATGTAGCTACCTTATGATGAATTAATATTTGAAACCGGTTCAGTGGTTTGACAGATTATTTGTTACAAACATACAAATCTTGCCTCTTTATGATGTTAGTATAGATAGTTAGGATAAGATAAGTATTTCATTGATGAAAAAGATTTAAAAATAAATCTTCCCACCCACTGTTGAAAAATATTATGTATTCTTGAATATCTAATGGGTCCCGACTGCTAAAGTAGCTTTGTTCCTTATTAACAGAATTATAGACTACTGGACTTGTTTTTTTCTTTTCAGTTTTTATTTGAAGTATAATTAAGCAGTCGGGTTTTTTGATTTTTTAAATTTATCTTTTTTTACTCTAGGTATCATACGCGGATAATATATCAAATCATTTATTGTTCAGACTACCTATGATGGATAATGTGCTAACACAAAATAGAGAGTAGCTATAAGAAAGCTTCCCTCCATTCTCGAAAATAATTACCTAAACTTACCACTATGGATTTAGAAACACACGTCGGTATTCGCGAATAATTTCGGCTAGAAACTGCGTGAGAACGCGAAAAGTAGCGTCAATGTGTGCGTGACAGAAATGACGCTTTGTTCTGAGCCGACTCTTTGGGGCCCAAGCACGAATTTTGACAGCTCCGTAATCTAACCGCATCATTAAAGTTTCTTTGAAAAAACACCTTTACGTAAGAACAAACTGACTCCTTCCATACTTTTTTTTTATGCCAGTACGTAGGCCAGTACGTTGCCACCGAGTTACTGTGGCCACTATACCAACACGAACAAAGAAATTTGTTGACTCATTTCTTTGTCGTACTATTCGCAAGTGGAATTCTTTGCCTGCGCACGTGTCCCTCCTTCCTACGATCTGGGGTCCTTTAAGAGAGGCGTGAAAAGGCATTGTTGCAGACCGGCAAGGTGAGGATGGTTGGAGTGGCAATTTATAACTGCTGTGCCAGCTATCTGTGCATTTGGACTTTAGCACTACTTAACATCAGGTGGGGTCATTTGCCTACCTGACTATATATAAAAAAATTACAATGATGATACGATTACGTAGTCATCGTTCATCTGCCAAGATTCGTTCTTGGGTCCATAGATTTAAAGAGACCCAGAATTCGCTTTTTTTTAAAAGAGTCTGTTCTCTTGTTTTTTCCATAGCGTGCGCTTCTCTAAGTGCCCGGACAGCAATTGCTAGAGTAAATGGTATTCTATGAGCAATTTCTGCACACCAAGTCCGTTGGTTCCGAGACAAATCATCGACGGATATATTTTTTCACGATTCAGGACCTTTTTCTGTGGAGGTCTAAAGCCTCTTGTCTGCGCAGGCCCATTTTGTTAAAACAAAAGACAGTGAGAAGAGAACCAGAAGGATGTATGTATGTTTGTTGTGATTTTTTGTAACCAAAACGGCTTCATGATTTTAAAGTGTGAAGTTATCATTCCGAGTGATAAGCAGGTACTATCTATGATTAATAATAAAAAAAGCGGTCAAGTGCGAGTCGGGCTCGCTCATGAAGGGTTCCGTAGCAGCATGTAATATTGTAGTTCGTTGTAACTTTGATCGATGTTTTATTAAGTTTTTTTTTATTTTATTTTTTAGTTTTATCAGTCTCTTATTTTAGTAATTCAGAGGACACACACATTTTACCACTTTGGAAGTGTCTCTCGCGCAAACTATTCAGTTTAGAAAAAAAATATATTAGAAACATCAATATCATTTTTGATACCCCACATGTATAGGTTTGATGAGAATCATTTTTTTGAGTTTCAGTTCTAAGTATGGAGAACCCCCAAATTTTCTTGTTTTTTTTTTCTTGTTTTGTATAAAAATCTTAATGCGGTTCACAAAATACATCTTCTTACCAAGTTTCAACAGTATAGTTCTTATGGTTTCGGAAAAAAGAACAGACATGACGAATCCATAAGGGTTCCGTCTTTTTCCATTTGGCTACGGAACCCTAAAAAGCAACATAACAAGATGGCGCTATTTAAAAAGTGTTTTTTTGCCTTGGTAACTTTTATTGAAAGAATATAAATTTATTTGTGCGTTCTACATAAACAGTAATCACAATTATTTCTATTGTAAGGCGCTATCATTTTACGTCCTGTCGGCGGAACAGATAAGATATGCAAATCGTACTAAGCTTAATTGTGCTAAAGGTTCCGTAGAATTTAGAAAACGAGAAATAAGTACGCAAATATATTTGGTATTTTGCGTTTTAGTAACAAGAATTGTGTCAAAAAGTAAAATTATTTAAATGCCGCTGTAATAACAATATACTACCCTACACACCATTTAGTATTCTTGCATCTGTACGCTAAAGCCCCTTTATTAATGAACGAGGTATAAGCTTAGACTAGTTACGCCTAGTTTTGTTAATTTCACTCAAATACCATTTGTAATTCAATGAAAAGAGACAAAACATACAGTTACTAATCCAAGATTATTCTTCGTTTACTAATAAGTGTCGCCGCACACGGGCCACCGACCACAACCACAAAACGCCGCCACCGGCATATTTCTTGAAGTTTTCATACATTTTATATGGACTCGCCACACACGGTACGCCGGTGGCCGCCACAAAATCGTCGTTGCTCACTTCTTGTGCCCCCACCGGCCACTTAATGCGCCGATACAAAACGCCGCCACACGTCACTCGCGCGATTCCCCACCCCTTCTCTCCCTTACCTTAGTCGGCCGCTGTCGCGCGCTTCAGCCACTTTAGTAGCCGCTCCTAGCTTCTCGTGGCGGCGTTTGTGGCTGTGGCGTGTGGCGCGTGTGCGGCGACACTAAAGGGTCAACAGTTTGCACTTAATTTCCTTTTCATTCATATTTCTATATTTATGTACGATTGAAAATATAAGTTGGTGACCAAAGTTTATGTAAAAAAATATTTATTGCGGTTTATCAGAAATAATTAATTTTACACAGTGACTAGTTGTGCCCGCGATTTCGTTTGCGTGGACGTCGGAAAATAACAACATGTCGTACGTAGGTGACATGATTTTTTTGATGAAGTGAAGCGCTGTTTTTGCATTTCTTTAAGCTAATACTTACTTTCATGTAAACGATACTAAATGAACCTGTAAATTCGAAAAGAACACAAGTCCATTAATTTAAAATTTTCAGGAACAACAAAAATATTTTTCTTAAAAAGAAAAGTTATTGGTGGTAAAGAAACTGAACACAGAAGTAGTTAAATAACAAAAAATAAAAATAAAAAAAAGCATTTACAGATATTTTTGATTAAGTTTCAGGATTAATGCCTTTTTCAAACTGACCTCTGATGTTCATACAAAATCAAATATTACCAGAAGAACTGATAGTATATCAGCTTGATTTTCGTGATATTCATTGTTTTCTGAAGTTGTTGGCCATGCAAAAACCTCTGTATAGAAAGTTTGATACTCTGCTGGAATATATTTTTTTTTTATTCAGACATTTTCTTTTCATTGATTGGCACTTTACCAGCATATTCAGGAGTATTATTTGATGGTAAAAGGGGGGGGGGGGGGGGTACCCATCCTCTGTAGGAGTTGGAAATCATGACTGACTAAACAATCTTTGGATTCACGTGTTATCACAAGACCTGGTATGGTCTTGGAAAATGTGAAATGTGACACTTTGGAAATAGCAGAAGTCACTTTTCTTCCGACTAAGTTGTTCAAAAAGTCGAGTTGTCTCACCATCGCCGGTGTGATCTGTCGACGTGTACCCCAGCATGGAGAAGGAAGGATCTTCCAAGCAGCGGAGACGGTGACAACAAACATCCGCGCGAACATACAGGCATACATCGGCTTTCGATTTGAAGGACTCTTCAAGCACGTAGCCGGGATAGTTACGGCAGCCTGTGTCAGCAGGCGGAAGTATTTGTGTCTCCGTCAGGAACAACAATGCTGGCCGTGCTGTCTCAAGACGGTGGTGGACAGCGTTGAGGTTAGAGTGGAGTCCGCATATGTTGCAGAACTCGACCTCAAGCAGCGTTGAAGGCGTGGGTGTGTGCACCGCTGTACGTCCAAACTTTGTTTTAGGGGCTGCCATGATGGAGGTGAAAAGGCGATGTGAAACGAGCGGACGTTGTCGCGAAAGGATCGGGCTAATTAGGAGGTCTGTTTCCCCGAATGACTGCCTGCAGAGGATATACGCCGACCGGCCGGACGGAAGGGCCTCCACACCCCCACGGAAGTGGCCGCCGTGACTCCACGACCCGGTCACCATCCGGCAGATGATCCACCCTGAGATTATGCGTGACATGAGGGGGCAGCCTCGCGAACTGGTAAGGAACGCTCGGGCCCCTGTACTGTGCCACGGGCGGCCAGCGGGACAACCGTTTCTACGAGTCTCCCTGGCCGGCGGGTCGATGCAATCCTCCCGGAATCAATTCGACGAGTGCCTCCTTTGGACCGAATCTGTCGCGGCAACCCCCACTTGAGCTCTGGTTGTACGCTGGCTGACCCCGAAATGCGGGAGAGGCACTTCGCGGGTTTTTCTCCATACGCACGGTGGTAACAAACCGGGTGTTAGGCACCCTACCACCAGAAGAGCAGATGGAAGCTCCGATATCCCTTAGTCGCTTCTTACGACACCCACGAGAAGAGAAGGGGAGGTGAGTAGTATTCTTTCTCCGTCACCGCACGGATAAAAATGTATTTACATTTGTAATGGAAAATTACTTCATTAGTTACCTCATATTGGAGTCATTTTTCAATTTGACGACTCTGTATATAATACAGGGAGAACGAAACAGCCTTTGCTGAATTTCTTGCCGGTTCTTCTCAGTACAAGGTCTCCCGCCGTAGATTTACGAACCGATGGCAAGCCGATGGCGTAGCTTTTCGACATTCACAAGTGCTTGTAACAGCCTAGACTGAATAAATGATATTGAATTTTGAAAATCTGACGTTTACCGATTGATCCCTAAAAATGAGTCTGTGTGTAAGCATAGTGTAAGCACATGTGTAAGGGACAACGACAATACGTATTGACACTGTCGTTATATCATTGAATGTTTGCATTCTTTATTCAGCAGTCAACATAATTAGTCTGCTCAATTGTATATTGTATTTATTTACTAATTGCTCGACGAAATATAGTGCTTATATACAAGTTATACTTAGTTGTGAAGGACTATAATCAGGTAAATATAAGTGCTCAATTTATTGTTTCGGATAGTTTAATTGTGAGATTCATGATTCATGGATAGTTGGTTGTCCTACTAATATTATGAATGTGAAAGTTTTTAAGTTTGTGTCTTTATTTATATTTGTTTCTCAATCACGCAAAAACGGCTGAACGGATTTAGATAAAATCTTACACACAGACAAAAGAGAGATAGGATACCTTTTATCCCGGAAATGTGTTATGTTCTTGATAATGTAAGCGGTATATGCTGCATTTCATGTTAAAAGCATGAAAATCGGAACGATTGATCCTTGGCCATACGAATATATTATTTGACCCTTGGCACCTAAAAATAAATAAGAAAGGAGAGGAGTTATAACGTGATCTTTTTGTTGTAGAAAAAAGAAATGGTTCTGAAACCTATCCTGTGTGGTATTTGATGAAAGTACTTACAAGTACTTACTAAGCCTATTTTTTTAAAATATATCACATTATTAAGTTTCAGTCACTTGTTTTAATTTAAATTAATATCATTTTTAAATCATACCAAAAGTTTATAATTTGGGCTCCTCTAGATACGATGCCTACAGTTATATATTTATTATGTAATAACGCAATTTTGAAGATATTCACATTTACGTTTTTTTTATTGAAAATACTAAAAGCGATTATTTGCAATCTTTCTTGGGGTTAGACTTTGTTTCATTTTAATAGATTTGCGTTATTGTTTTTTTTACTTGTTCTTAGTGTTTATTATTCGATATAAAAATCGCTGTACTAGGCCACTCAGAAAGTTTTGCGAAATAAAGGTTTTATGTTTAAGACACTGGACACTTGTTATTATTTTGAGAACTTCGATTATTTAAAAGTAAAAACACCACTGTTCGATTTTCAAATTTCCCTCCGCATTTTTTAAAAACCAATTAAATTTTTCTTCTCTCTTAAATTAAAAAATGGATCTGCATCGAGAAAATTTTCGTGCTATGATTTATTACGATTTTAAATGTGGCTTAAAACCTGATGTGTCCTTTGATCGATTTCGAACTGCTTTTATGGATGAAGGACCTTCAAAAGCAATCATCTACCGCTGGTGTAGCGAGTTCAAACGCGGTCGTCTTACTTTTGGGGGATGAACAAAGGAATGGTCGTCCTATGACGGCTGTCACCGAAGAAAGTGTGCTATCAGTAAAAAATAAAATTAAAGAAAACAGACGAATTATGTACGAAGAGATTCAGTATACTCTGCAGATTGGTTCAGGAAGTGTTCACAAGATTTTGCACGAGCACCTTTGCGTAAGGAGGTAGTTTCTCGCTGCACGGGAAACTGACTGGTGTGGACTGACAACCTGACACCTTTGCGTAAGGAGGATAGTTTCCCGCTGCACGGGAAACTGACTGGTGTGGACTGACAACCTGACACCTTTGCGTAAGGAGGATAGTTTCTCGCTGCACGGGAAACTGACTGGTGTGGACTGACAACCTGACATCTTTGCGTAAGGAGGATAGTTTCCCGCTGCACGGGAAACTGACTGGTGTGGACTGACAACCTGACATCTTTGCGTAAGGAGGATAGTTTCCCGCTGCACGGGAAACTGACTGGTGTGGACTGACAACTTGACACCTTTGCGTAAGGAGGATGGAAACTATCCTGCACGGAAAACTATCCTCCTTACGCAAATGTGCTCGTGCAAAATCTTGTGAACACTTCCTGAACCAATCTGCAGAGTATGCTGAATCTCTTCGTACATAATTCGTCGGTTTTTTCTTGATTTTTTTTTTACTGCCAGCACACTTTTTCACCGAAGGAAGTGTGCTGTTAGTAAAAAAATAATTCAAGAAGACCGACGAATTATGTACGAAGAGATTCAGCATACTCTGCAGATTGGTTCAGGAAGTGTTCACAAGATTTTGCACGAGCACCTTTGCGTAAGGAGGATAGTTTCCCGCTGCACAATGATGATGATGATAATACGCGATTGGTGCTAGTGATATGATACAAAAATTTGATGCAGGCTCGTCAAGGCAAGTTTACGATATTGTGACAGGTGACGAATCCTGGATTTATCAATACTATCCAGAAACAAAGCGTCAGTCGCCAGTTTGGCTGTTTCAAAATGAACCAACCAACGCCTACGAAAGTGAAGCGATCGAGGAGCGCAGGGAAAATTTTGATCGCTAGTTTCTTAACTTTGACGGGGTACCTAATTTCAATTCCACTTTGAAATCAAATCAGCACCATAGCACAAAATGCCTGCCAGAAGTTTTTTGTGCAATAAGCAACAAGCGACCTAACAACGGGCTCCGTGGGGTCCTTTCTTCACCACGACAACGCACCCGCGCACTCTGCGATCAAAACGAAGGACTCCTGGACCAGTCAGAGTCTTGGGACACCCTCCTTACAGCCTTGATTTGGCTCCGTGTGACTTCTTTTTATTCCTTAAAATAAAAAATCAACTCAAAGGGATACAGTTTTCATCGCCGGACGAAGCGCTAGTAGCGTTTGAGAAGGCCTCCAAAAATGTTTTGAAAATTGGTTCAGACGCATGAAACTTCGTATGAGAGGCTGGTGGAGAGTTCTTTAAAAAGATTTGTTTTTTTTTTCAAAGAAGATAGTTTTTTAGTTTCTTTAAACTTTCTGAGTGTCCCACGTACATATTAACTTATTTCCAATGTTTGTTAAATAGTTTTGTACGACAGTAAAGTTCCAATCCACACTGGGCCCATGTGATGGGTCATAGTCCAATCTCCCTATTTCATCCATAGGGAAAGCCTGTGTCCCAGCAGTGGGTCATTAATAGGCAAGTGGTGAATGTTTCTTCACCCCGAGATAATATTTTTTTAATTTTATGTTTATTATTTTAGCCTTATTCAATATATGCACTATCCAACACAAAAAGAATTATTCATATCGGACCAGTAATTCCTGATATTAGCGCGTTCAACCAAAGAAACAAGCAAAGTCTTCAGCCCTATAATATTAGTATACATCAAGTATAGATAGCTAAGAATCGTCACGATCTTGTCAGTTTTCAAAAAAAACACTGCATCAAAACATTGGCTTAGAAGCCACAGACTGACACAAAAACAGAACCGTCAAACTTATAACACCCTCATTTTTCGTCGGAGGATAATGATAAGTAGTTAACTTACATTAAAAGTTATCAAAGAACAAATTAATATATTATTTAACACCACAAAAAAGTTTCTGGAATTCGAATTTCGAATTGTTCATGAAACTAAAAATGTATACTTTTTAGAATTTTACTCATTTTTAAATATGAATAGGAGTGGACGCTTAAAGAAGACCGTGTTGCAGTTATTGCGTTGCATCGTTGAGCGTTACGCGCCAATTCAAATTTTTGACATACTGAAAAATTTGAATATAACCAAAAGATTCGTTTATCGTACCATCAAACGATACAATGAAGACTCTAGTGTAGATGACAGGTCAAGAAGTGGTCGCCCTCGGTCTGTTAGGACTCCAGCAGTGATAAAAGCTGTGAAGGCGCGAATTCAAAGAAATCGCAAACCTAAGCAGAAACTGTTGGCCCTTCAGATGGGGTTAAGCAATGAATGTTAAGGTGTTAAATGAAGACTTAGGGCTTCGGGCATATCGAAGAAAAACAGGACATCGTTTGAATGCTCGTGTTATGGACCTGAGACTGAAGAGATGCCGCGCTTTGCTGAAGCGGTACGCGGGAAAAAAATATCGGGAAATTATTTTTTCGGATTTTCGGAAAAAAATTTACCGTAGAAGAGAGCTACAACAAACAAAATGATACGGTGTACGCATACAGTAGTGAAGAAGCGAGCAACCGTATTCCGCGTGTCCAACGAGGTCATTTTCCATCCTCGCTCACCATGAGCGACATTTTTGTGAGAAAGGTGTAAAAACGAATGCAGTTGTGTATCAAAATACAGTCCTGACGAACCTTGTGGAATCTGTTTTTCATACCATGTTCAATAACAGGCACTGGGTATTCCAACAAGATTTCAGCTCATAGAGCGAAGAGCACACAAGACTGAAAATCGACTGTGAAATCGACTTCATCCGGCACGAAGACTAGCCCTCCTCCAGTCCAGATTTGAATCCGTTAGATTACAAGATATGGCAACACTTGGAGGAGAAGGCGTGCTCAAAGCCTCATCCCAATTTGGAGTCACTCAAGACATCCTTGATTAAGGCAGCCGCCGATATTGACATGGACGTCGTTCGTGCTGCGATAGACGACTGGCCGCCCAGATTGAAGGCCTGTATTCAAAATCACAGAGGTCATTTTGAATAAACTTTATTGTCATAAGAATCTATGTTTTGTTAAGTTCATTTTGGTATATAAATGGTTACATAATGAATAAACTTGTTTCAATTATTTTATATTAAACATGTGACAGAATTTATGACCTGATTAGGTTTAATCAAAAGTTTTGAATATTTATATTTTTATTTGAGTTCAAATTATATTTACGTGACAATAGGTAGGTACTGTAACGTCCGTTGCGTTACAGCCTCCTTGTTTGGGTAAACTCTTTGTTCATGTAATGCCTACGGCTGGCAGTTATATTAAAAAGATAATGTCATGATTTTTAAAGATTTGAAATTAGGAATTTTCTGTCGTTTGATAGAAAATTCCAAGAGATAGACTTCAGGCACGAAACCATACGTTGATAGATTAAACTCAATTATTATATTCGCCTGATTTCAAATAAAATTAAATATAAAATCTAATTAGTTTTCATTTATATAGTTACGTACCCGGCGCCTCCACCATGCGGCGATCTACCCTGAAGGGGTAGGCGTACGGGTGATTTTGTTAAGGTTTTGCTCCCTTAAAGTCTTTGCAATAAACTTTGCAAACTGTTAGGGGTCTATTCCCGTAAAGTTTTTTTTTTGCAAGAAGTTTTGCAAACTTATTGTGAGGGCTAGTCTGTAGTAAAGGCCGACTACCGGTTGTATTGATGTCCTTTAGCAGGTAGGGATTTTTAGATAGTAGATATCTATTAAAGATAGGGTAAAAATAATAATTTACGCTATTATTATATTATGTTAATTTTAATACCGATACTGTTTTTCGATTATACAAGTACAGTTCTTTTCATTTTTCTTGCAGGATCGACGTGCATGTCCTCTATTATGAATGAACATGGAGTACTTTAAAGGTAATGTAGTTTATAATTATTATACATTAGTAAATATATAATTTATTTTATAGGATGTATTTCCATTAGTTTAACTAGTAGCCTCTCTGAAATAACACAAGCCTTACAGTGCTTACTTTCAGGCTAGGCTAGGTAATTGGTGTATTTATTATATTTTTTTTTGTCTTCAGCATTTAACTGCTGTATATATATCGTGTGATATATTATTGAGTCAACATACAGACAGATTTCCGTCTCCGTGCTTCGGAAGGCACGTTAAGTCGTTGGTCCCGGCTGCATCTGCAGTCGTTAGCACCCACCAATCCGCACTGGGCCCGCGTGGTGGGTCATGACCCAATCTACCTATTCCATCCATAAGGAAGGCCTGTGCCCCAGCAGTGGGGACATTAATAAGCTGATGATGATGATGATGATGATGATGATACAGACAGATATGAAATTATCGTTGCAAACATCTTTGACCTTAAAAATGTTAATTCTATGCTACCAGGAAAACTATAATTTGGCAATAGATAGGTACAAAGAAAGTTGAAGTGGCAGTAGGCTGGCCATATTTGCCGAAGAATCGATAACCATTGGGGTGGACGAGTTCTGGAGTGGAGACCGCGTCTAGGCAAACGTAGTTTAGGACGCTCAGGCACGATGGAGTGACGATTTGCGCAAGGTCGCTGGCAGGAGCTGGATGCGAGTAGCGCAAGATCGATCTGAGTGGCGTGCAATTGGAGAGGCCTATGTCTAGCAGTGGACTAGGATAGGCTGTTGATGATGATGATGACAAAGAAAGTGTTATTACTACTAGTAGAAGTAAGACAATGCTGTAGTAGATTCTCTGAAATAAAATAAAATAATCCTGGACCGAGTGGATTTTTTTCTAGTATATTTTTTATAGATTTACAAAACTAGCAGTTAAATGCTTAAAAATATGATAACCTTATACTTATTTAGTACATTGGACAGTAAAGAAATTGCGTCACTTACTACCACGGTACTCAGATTTGATTTTCTCAAAAAATATAAAACTTGAAATCTCTCAAAGTTCTACCTATTAAAAGCGCGTTTCATGATAATTATGGGTTCGAATCCCGATGGGGACAGATGTTTGTGTGATGAATACGAGCATTTGTACTCCAGTCATGGATGTTTAATATGTATTTCTATGTAAATATACATATACATTATGTATCAGTATATGTATTCTCATAGATGAATGATTGGTCTCGAAGCGAGACCAATCATTTATCTATGTGTATTCTATCCGTTACCCTGGTATCATGGGATACTAACACAAGTACTATGGGGCCAGGCTAATTGGTGTGAGTGTTGGACATATTTATTATTAATTTTACTTATTTCAGATTTAAGTTTTAATTCTTAATTTTTATTGCAGTAGTTTGAATTTTTACAAGTCGTTTTGAAATTTTGATGAAATATTTTTTTGAAGGTTGTCACCTTAATTTTCTATTTACTCATATTGTCTTTTTTCTTTCTTTCTAGTGTTATGGATTTTTCTCCTTTTGAAGATATACTGTGCTCATACATTACAAACTGGGTGCTCGCGGAAGTTAAATGAAGAAGAATGCTTACTCAAATTATATTGTTTGAATGTGACAGAAGATAATGTTGATTATTATAATCGACATAATTTTAATTCTCATATGAATTGCCCCTTTTATCAAAGTCCACATACTGGCTATCAATATTACATGGTAGATATGAAATTTCAAGGCGATGCTGAAGGAGATGGTATTTTCACTATACCAAACCCAACATATTATAATTGTTTCATCTGCCCTATGATATATAAACTAGACTTAAGTAGTAACAGTTACACGTCTTCACCAACCCTCAGTGCAATGAAAAATTTAGCTTATTTAAGTTTATCACGGAATTCTTTGACAGTTGCCAAGCTTTCAAATAGATATGAATTAGCCAAGTTGATAAGCTTAGATTTATCGTATAATACTATAAGTGAAATAGATGTTGAATATGAGTCTTATACCGAATTACAAATATTAAATATATCAAACAACTATATTGTCACCATACCGGATGCAATTTTCGATAATTTTCCTCAGCTATTGACTTTAGATTTATCTCATAATTTTATAGATGTACTGGGGGTAGCTACTTTTGAAGGCTTAAAAAAACTATCTACGTTGATAATTTCACATAACAGACTGTCGGAAATAAAGGAGTCGCTATTCAGATTCAGTCAACTCAAAATATTAGATTTAAGTAACAATAGACTCGAACATATAAAATCTAGAGATTTCGATAAACTACAAGGACTAACTCATTTGAATTTAAGTGACAATTCTATAGCAACAATTGAAAATACAGTATTTAATAGTATGGGCTCATTACAGTTTCTTCAGCTTAGTAATAACAGCCTCCAGGACCTAAGTAAAGTAAATTTTTCGAATGCTATTAATTTAGTTTATGTCGACTTTTCAAGGAATGAATTAAAAAGTTTACCAAAGGAATTGTTCAAAGGAAATAATCTTACCTTTTTTAATATAGAAGGTAATAATTTGGAAGGTACCCTTATAAAAGGAACATTTAAGGGGTTGAAACGAGTTCCTAAGTTGGATCTCAGTAATCAACAGCTTACAGCTATAGAAGACTATGCATTCTTGGGTCTCGAGGCTATAACGTACTTGAAGCTAAACAAAAATAAATTACAATCACTATCCCTTAACAGTTTTAAAAACTTAGTAACTTTGACCACATTAGATTTATCAGATAACAGAATTGTTGATTTGAATTTTGACTCGACAGATTTGATTAATCTTCATGTGATTTCATTGGAAAATAACTTTATTAGTGAAATAGAACCTGAATATTTTGAAGGACTATCATCGTTACATTTCCTACATTTGTCGAATAATAATTTACATAAATTGGATTCTATTTCGTTCAACTCTCTTCATGAATTAATATATTTTGATATATCTGGTAATCCTTTGAATGGGACATTGGAAACTGACACGTTCAATGGTCTAAATTCTCTTCCATTATTAGATATCTCTTTTACTCAATTGGAAATTGTTAAAAATGGTTCTTTTAAAGGATTGGAAAAGCTAAAAAAACTCAACATGTCTCATAGTGCAATCAAACACATAGAGTATAATTCCTTTACACTTTTAAGTACAGTAGAGACCATCGATTTATCATTCAACCAAATCAGAACATTAGAAATTAATGGTACAGATTTAGTAAATCTCAAGAAATTGTTGCTAAGCCATAACCTTTTGAAATTTATCACTAGTAATGTTTTCTTAGGACTTTCAAGTTTAACCGAGATTGATTTATCTTATAATGATATCAAAGTATTACGGAATGACGTATTTGAAAACCAAGGAAACCTGGAATACTTAGACATGTCATTTAACTCAGATGTGGCCTTTGATGTTTCTATTATAAGTCATAATAAACATCTGTATTATTTACATTTATCAGGTCTTAAATGTGAAATAAATTTTACATCAGTTGATGAAAACTTGTTATTTGAATTACATTTAACTTATACAACTATTAAAAATATCACATATTTAGATTTGCAAAAATTGACGGCATTGCGCATACTTATACTAAGTCATAATATCATTGAAAAGGTAGAACAAGGTTCATTTTCTAATATGAATGTTTTAGAAAGAATAGATTTGAGTTATAATAAAATCATGTTTTTACAACCAGGAGTATTTACTGATAACACTTATTTACATACTCTTAACATTTCTCATAATTTCCTTACGACCGTTGCATACGGAGTGCTCAATGGGCTCTTCTATTTAAATACATTAGACATTTCATATAATAGGATTACAAACTTAGAAAGTGAGCGGTTTAATGAAGTTCAGTCCTTACAAGTAATAATTGCAGATTATAATCGCATTGATTATTTAAATGTAAAAGAATTTTCTGGGACTAATTTAAGGGAATTAAGTATTGGTGGAAACCTTGTTCCTTGTAAAGTCTTAGCCAAATTGAAGGAAAATGACGAATCGTACAAAATTACTGCAATACATTCACATGATTATTCAAAGGCTAACATAAGAGGTATTACATGTATAAATGAAATTCCAGTACAAAATCAATACAATAAAAGTAACATAAATGATTATAGTGAAATATTGACTGATATCAGAGACACATTGCATGTTATGGTTAACAAAAACATCACACAGGGAGAATTTGTTAGGAATACCAATAATACACAGTTTTTTCATAACTTTACTCAAGCATTCGAAGGATTAACGAACGATTATGAAAATAAACTAACATCTTTTATTAATCAGAGTTCATTGGTTAACAAAGAAAAGTTAAATACTTTAAATGAAATACTTCAGAAAAGTGTTAATAAAACAAATTCACTATTGGAAAAGATTTTAAAAGCTTTGAGTGAGACAAATTCGGTGACAATACCTACACAAGCAACAAAAGATAAAAATTCAATAGATTTCATTAGGTACATCAATAATGTGAAAAGTGAAATGACAGACGTTATATTAGCCGAAAAGAGAAACATACTGAATGAAATGGAAAGGAAAATTAATGCCGCAGTATCCCGAAACTTAACGGTACTCACCCCCCCAATTAACAAAGAAAAACTCGTCAGTAAAAATAAAGATGTAGAGAGTCGACCAACATTATTCACAGACATATGCGTTTCCATAATTCTTTTAATTTTAGTGTGCTTGATTTTGTATAAGTTTTATAAATCTCGAATGTTTGTGCGTGCAAGACGTTCGTATAGTACAAGAGAATTGCCCAGTGCTATGGAAAGCCCTGATCTGTGATAGTAACATTAAATTAAGTGATTAGATATCTCCCATTGTTTACATGTATTATTAAATGAGGATCCCTTTGCAAGCGCCATGATCAAGGAGTAACTGCTAAAAACAAGGTACATGGTAACAATCCCGTAAATAACTTATATTACTATAATGTTTACCTATTTATGTCATAGTTAAAGAAAATAATACAGGGTCACCCATCTGTTGATTTTGATATTTACAATGTTTACATATTTATAATTATATCATTTTATAGTTGTTCTAAATTGTAATAAATACCTAATAATTTTATGTCAGTAAGATAAGTAACTCATTAGGTTTATCTTTTAAATTGTATTATACTACTATTAAATATAATTGAATCTATCGATGAAATTTAATTTTTTATCTTTATTTTCTGTTTACATTAGTGTCGATTATGGCATGATTATCTAAACCTAAATTTAAATTTAACAGCAGTGGATTTTTTTCATACTCTATACAGTATGAAAAGGAGATACTTAAATTTAGTTTTAAGTTTAGAGAAGCATGCCAGATTTGATACGCATGCGGTGTGCGAACTTTTGTCCCCAGAAAATTTAGTGAGAAACCTGATGGAAGCAATGTTCCGAGATAAAGTTGTATAAAGAAAATATTACTAGAAAAAAATCCACGCAGACCAGGCAGCAGATGGGACTTGAACCCGCACCCTTCACTATCCCCTATTATTATTAGCTAGGATAGCGAAGAGTGCGGGTTCGAGTTCCGTCTGCTGCCTGGTCCGTGTAGATGTTTTTTAGTTATATTTTTTTTATATTTCAATATCACACAGTTACATGCTTAAAAATATATAACTGCAAATCTCCTGCTAAAACGTTGCTGTCGCGAAATATCTAATAATAACAGTGTTAGTACTTTAATATAAATACAAGAATCATGAATGAAATGAAATCATGAATATAAAATAACAAGAACATCGATAAAAAAAATATTACAAATGAATAACAATGTTTAACGCTCAAATATAGCGTTAGAATGGCATATGGCAGTACTGGCACATTGAGTAGTTATCTATGGAACCGGCACGTACCCGGCCGTTTTTTTATTTTGCAAATTATAAGATAACACTAGGTATTATGCACTGCCACAAATAAATCATTTATGTATTATTTTATTATGCATCGTAAACAATAAGCGGGGACTCCCCGAGCGCAGACACAGACGCAGCTAAACTGTGTAGCGTTCACATAAAAAGCTGAGCATTGCATGTTTGGCGTTGAAAATGTATCGGTGTTACGGCGATTAATTAATACCTACTTATCGCCAATTCCGATAACGTGGATAATTTTGTGTTATCTTACACAAAATATCGCCGAAATGCCTAATGGAGGGAAAGTACTTTTAATACTGTGGATAGAAAGTTTTTCTGAATGAAGAATTAATTTTTATATTAAAAACAATACGAACTCCACACATTTTTTTATAAATCATCTGTATAAACCGGAAATTCAATCTGAATCTGAAATAGAATTAAGTTAGAAGTGCTTTAGAAATTAGTACTGCCACTTTCTTTGCGATAAAATCAAAATAAGCCAGCATGTGACTTCAAGTGACGTTCAATCTGAGTATAGTCATGAGTCACTCTAATTTAAATGTAATAAATGTACAATTTTGCAATTGTAATAACTTTATTTATGCAAATGTAAGCCAATAAGTACTTTATCGATCTCTTTACTAAGTAATGGCAGGGCATAGCTATCTGGTATGTACTTCCGAGAGTTGTACCGCAATTACGGAATGCCCTGCTAGGGGGCTATTTTCTAACAATGGCGACTTTTTCCACAATTGAGCGTTCGTTCCGACGAAGGTATAAAAGCTAGAATCGTGCATGTGCGTGAGCACAGCATGACAGTGTATCAATTCTTTTTATTACTAAAAGTGAAACATTCTGGTATCTAGATAATTTTCAGCCACATCAGCTATCTTCAGGACTGAATTTACTATAGGCGTCAGGGTTTAGTTACCAAAACATTTTTTTTATCAGTGACAAAAGTTGTTAAAGAATAATGGAAGGTACTCCTTGTGCACGTGTTTATATTATTTACCGCAAGCTTTCAAAAGGAAGAAACATTTTGCAGGTGTGGCAAGGCAAGCGACTGCAGTATCTGGTCTCCACCTACACTTTTAATAATAGTTGACCGGGCAAAGATAAAGATAAATTATATCTTATTAACATCCGGTGTGGTGTAATCGTTCGTGTGACTCTAACCTTTTTATTAAAAAACATCGGCCAAGTTATCACAAGCGAAGGATTCTGCAACATTTTCCAGACAATATTTACAAGAACAAAGAAATTTGGTGACTCATTTCTTTGTCTTTTAAGTGGAATTCTTTGCCCGCGCACGTGTTCCCTCCTTCCTACAAAATGGGGTACTTTAAAAGAGGCGTGAAGAAGCTTTCCTGCAGGCCGGCAAGATGAGGATGGTTGGTTTGGTAGTTTATAACTGCTGCACCAGCTATCTTCGCGTCTGGACTTCATCACCACTTAACATCAGGTGGGGTAGAGTCATTTGCCTACCTAGCTATAAAAGAAAGATTAAAACTTAAATTGCAATGATTTTTAAGGTCATTTAAAAATATGTATCCACCTTATTAATAGTATTTAAAATTTGTTTTGTTTTGAATATTTGTTTTTGTAGCGTCTATGTAAATAGGTGAATTAGCTAGTGAATTTCAATTGTCTACGGGTCATGATGTTGATGGGCAGACATACAGACAGCGGACTATTAGTAACAGGGTTCCGTTGATACCTACCGAGTACGTTATCAAAGAAAAATATAACATCAAAAATACAACGGCCGGTTGATGCAAGATCAGCATTTCCGTATTTAATGGTTGGTTTTAATATTGGCACTCGCATTTTTTGCGAGAGTGAGGGATGAGAACAAATGTTTGTTATAAGTAGGGTGAAGGTGCATAAAAAAAATATGAGTGCGTGTACTTAAGTACGCGCGTGAGAAGTTATACTTCTTTTTGGAATTATTAAAAAATAGTTTTTAATTGCATGCAGATAATTAATTACAATAAGATAATAAAAGGATTGGAAAAGGATAGTCAACGCAGTCAATAAAGTTCAGTTTTAATATGAAAAATTTAATAAATAATCAAAATATTCAATTTAAATCACTACTGAATAAAATTTATTAGCACATATAAATTTCGCATTTGTATAACATTATAACACGTGTTAAGAATATAGAAACTAGAAACATGTGGATAAATATTATAAATATGAAAACAGTGATCAGAGGCGACGAGCGTCCCAACATGTGCGACTAAGAGATCCTATTACTATTTTGTTGGAAGCTTTTTTTCGAGACTTACGAGTAATGTGCGGTTTAGCGGCCGACTTCATGGTGTTACTTTTCTGTTACAGTGTTGCGCGCGCATCTTAAAATTTCACTCTCATCATTTTTTCATAACGCGCCCGCGGCTAACTTCATTATGTTACTTTTGTGTTACAGTGATGCGCGCGCATCTTAAAATTTCACTCTCAAAATTTTTTCATAACGCGGCTAAAGCAGTATAACTTCAATATTAATTAAATAATTTCTGTGCAGCATCTATAAATTAGACAATATGCATCCTATTTTTTATCCTAACGATGGGTAATTTAGCGTAAAAACTAACGTTGAAATAATTTCTGTGTTTCATGATTGATTGTTTTTTAAAATAAAAATCGCAATATGGGTCTTCTAGTTTTACGCACATGTATTTACGGGTCCCCGTTTCAACTGCTAAGCTTCAGAAAATGAGTTTTCCCGCAAATCTGAAACCAGTTGATTGCAGCACAGGTTGTATCAATACTGCATATTAAAGGTTAATTACATCCAAACCAAACTTAAAAGTGTACCTACCTATTAAACTATTCGATTGAAAATTCGTCCTTTTTAGTATAATTATTATTGGTGCCCTACGAATTTTGTCAATAATTTTTTTGGCTCAGTTTTGTCCAAGAGTGTGCTGCTTTATTATAATATATATATACACATATATATATATATATCTGTATGTCAAATACATTATTTAATACTAGCAAACCAGTGAACCAAATGTTCACCAAAAAAAAATGTATTTAATTAATTGAGAACTTCGGAGATTTTGTGTGGTTTCGTTTGAAATAGAAATCACGTGATTTCTCGAAAACCGGAAGTGCTACGTTACTCAAATCCGGTTTGCAGTCTTATCAGACTATTCTTAACTTATAACTTAAACATTCTCTTTATCTATCTCTTACGGTTTGGCCGCTGAAACAGCACCACGGACGGACGGACGGACGGACTTGTCTAATAGATAAGAGATATGAAAATTGACCTGACTGACCCAGCGAACTTCGAACCGCCATAAAAATATGGATTCATGGTAGAAGGGTGTATAGAGTATTTAATTGCTGATTCATAAAGAAACAATTTTGTCAAATTAGTATTGGGTTGAACCCACGAAGTTATATAACTTCATGGACTAATCATCTTCATATTCATTTATTGCATCTTGTTGTATACATAGGTGTTACAAGTATGGTTAGGTTGCAAACAAGAGCCCTGTTGTAACGTACCTTAATATGGTTTCGACTCATGGTTTCGATTATCATAGGTTCCATTTCGCACATTTTATCATATAACATCATCGATATTCATCAGGCATCATCATATATTTTATCATTTATTCCTGGAAACACATAATTTCAAAAATATCACACTATTCATCACTTTGTAAATACGTATAATAATTTCTTCTGTACTGAAAATCACTATTCCAGAGTGCTGGACACTTACCGGCATTTCTCTTTATTCTGTTATTTACTTGTTTTCACTTATTATGCTTTGATTTTATCTATATTTAATTTATTTATTTTATTGACATTTTATGACAACCTAATGTTTTTTATCCGTTGCCATGGCTACCCATGACACGGATACTCTCTCCAACTACGTCTATGACTATTCAACCTCCACAGACCACTTACTTTGATTCTTTTTGGCTCGATTCGAACCGTGTCTAAATTCAAATGGTTCCGGACCTATAAAAGGCCGAGCCTCCCTGATCATTTATTCAATTCTACGGCAAAAGTTGCCTACTCAACTTTTGAAAGCTCGCTACCGAGCTCTAAATTAATAAAAGGCCTTGTCCCGGGGCCGACTGCCCCGGGACTCAAGAAAGACCTCAAAGCTTTTTAGCACCTATTGGCTCTTTAAACAACTTCCTAACTCCAATACTATACTACTATACACGTTCTCGCAACCTCATCGGTGGGACTGCGCCTGGTCTCCAGCTTCTTCGGCCAGCCTCCAGCTGCTTCAGCCCGCCTTCTACCGACTCCTGCCGTTTCTTCAAC